AAAAAATATGCGAATGCTTAGAAATCCAAGCCCTAGATCATAACCATAGATATATGTCTCAAGTCTGGTTGGAGTCACAGGTACCTAAATCTTACCTAGCGGCTAGGACAGCGTGGAAAACTGGTACAATTTATGTCAATCGCATATCCACATGCGAGATTTTGATAATCTAACTATTATATTCATAAGACTTAATTTTAAACTAATACTTCCATGAATAATGTAATGTAATATTTATTTTTATATTTTTAAATAACTAACATATGTATTAACCAGCTTACAAATCATTAATCAAGTGTAAAAAATTATATTGTAGTAAGTATTTTTGTACACATTTAGGAAATTAAGTAAATTATAATTAGTATCTAAATTGCAATTATTTATAAATAATAGATGATTGCTAAATTTGAATTTGGTATTACTTAATACTTCAAAATATTTTTATTATTCTAAAATATAAACAATTATGTGTTTTCACAATGTAGTTTATAAGTACATCTGTATAATGTTTCAACTATATATAACATAGTACAAAATAATGCTCCTTAATATTTGTTTGATACAATCAAACTAGCATTCTAACAATTCCATTATTAGTGTAGTTAATATGCGGTAATATAACTATTAACTAACCATGTTTTATAATATTATAATTTTCACATAGTTATTAAATATGAATTAGTATAATTGACCTTTGCAATATGCACATTATTTCACAATATTTCATATTTTATTATATTATAGAGTCTTAAACTGCTGCGCCGTATTTGTGTAAATAAATATCCTTTTTGAAACATTTTTTTTTACTGTATGTATTAGAATGGCCACATTTATTTATAGGGCCGATTAAAAAATTGAGATAGTTATGAATACTTAATTGAACAAAACAGTTTAACATTAGGCTACATATTCAACACACGAACCATTTATTTTTATTTTTTTTAAATAGGCAATAGTTATAAGTAATTTAAATCATAAAAACGTTCATAAAACAAACTAATATTTATTTAGATGACGATGAGAAAGTTGGCAAAATTACTACTTAGTGAAACAGTAGCGAACCCTACGACGGAAATAAGCATCTATCCCTCGCTCATTGACATCTATAAGAATATTAGCACCTATTATACCAATTTATGGGAATCCGAATGGCGGTAAACCAAAAAAAAACTTAAAGGAACCAAAAATACTACCATATACGACATACTGGAGTATAAAAAATAAGCTCATTCATTGAATCGTAAAGATGAAGTAATTATAAATGGACTACGTATTAGTCACTCAGAGATGTCCCATGCATATTTTATACGAAGACAACAACTTGTAATGCGCTAAAGCTGAGAAGAACCTCTTACAGCCGAGCACCTCTTTGTCTACTGTAAAAACCATATAGCAACAAGAAAAATTCTAGAAATGTCTGACAACCACTTTGAAGCCCTTAGCCCAATTGAAGACAACATCAACAAAGCCATCGTATTTCTAAAACGTTTTGATATGTACAACTCAATCTAAGAAAACCATTGTATTTATTTAGGTATATGAAGTTAATATGTATTTTGACGTAAGCTTAGTATTCTGTACCAAAAATAAAAATAAATGTATTTATGATGAATAATCGAAATCAACTAATATTTTCATTTATATTGCTTTTAAAATAACAAAATATATCTTATAACTATTTAATAATAATAATAAAATTCACTTTCATTAAATAATTATTGTATTTGTATATAATGTTTGGTACATACGTATATGGGAAGGTATATTAATTATTACCTACTCATAAGCCATATAAGTGTCGACTATAGTAAATAGTTGAAAACTTTCATAATGTTACAGTTAATTAATTTTAACAATGTGATAATCACATTATTTTCTTATAAAACAACTATATTAGAATTATAAAAATCATACAATTAAGTTAGATACTATATTGTTAATTTCATTCAAAACTTTTTTTTTTTACATAATATATTTGAAAATATACAAAGATATTTTTACAATAAGCATATGCGATGTACAAACATTAATGATTAGATTAAATTGTTTTCAAAATTTAAGTTGGGTACTTGTTTTCTGGTGTCATTTCAGAATTCACGGGGACTGCATAAAAAAATAACCAACAAAATGATAACAAGAGCCTCTCAAAAAATAAGTATTTTCAATACAAAACTTATTATTAAACATTATGGGATTTTAATAATTAATTGTTATTTCTATATTACCTACCTATAAATAAAAAGAATAATAGCAGAGACATATTATAACACAAAAAGATTGTTAGTATTTACCTATTTTTTTCAATTAAAAATTATCACCTTTATAAAAGGTATTTCATAAGATAATTTAAGATAGTTTATACTAGAGAACTAATTTAAATATTAATAAAAATATATCAATTGGTACAGGTAAAATAGAATAATTCAAATTTAAAAAAAAAAACTTTAATCATTTAGAATTTCTACAGAATAAATAAATAAAATGGTAGTAAACAAAAATTAGTAAATAATTAATATATCTTCTACGACAACTATAAAAAGGTAATTTAAAGATCTTTTACCAGTCTAAAAGAACATTTTTTTCTACTAATAACGAGTGATATTATGTATACGCTGGCTTAGTAAATATTTACTATTTTTCTTGCAGTTCCTAGATTTTTCATTATTTATAGTTATGGCTTTATGAGTTTTATTGCATTTGTTTTTTTTTTACTTTTTCGGAAAAACTATATGTTATGTAGAACATAGATCAACTGTAGCATATCTCTACATTATACTTTGTAAACAAATTATATTTATGTATAATTTATATTATTTTATTTCTATAGTGATCTATAAAATACAATAGAAATTATTTGTATGAATAAAATGTAAAAGCTTTGTTAATAACCTAAATCCGTAGTTTATGCATGGCCAACTGTTAAAATGTATACATTTCTACGATTCAATATTAAATTTAATATATATTATATACATATATATAATATGTATGTTGTTAAGAGAAATGCATTTTATTAAGTAAATGTTTAAACCAATCTCCGTACACCTAATATATTATTAATAATAATAAAAAGTTTTTATATCTGATATAATATAGGTAGGTTATGAAATTGTATAAAGTGGATAAAACATTTTATGAAATAGATTTTTAGATTTCTGCAATTGATATACTCCAGTAGTTTTTATTATAGTATATTTAAACAAGTTTTATTTAGATCAAGGATGTTTTTTATTTTGAATAAAATATTATATTATGTTTGATCCAATTTTGAACTCAAAATATATATATTTTAATGTGTATTTGAATTTGAATTTTTGAATAACTTAGAGCATTTTACCATTCACGTAGGTGTCTAACTTATTCAACATGAAGGTCGTATTTTGAGTCTTCTAATAAAAAAATTCTACTAACCCAAAAATCTAAAAAAAAAAAAACACTAGGTATTTTAAAATTAAGATGTATACCTTATTTTGTTTAGTTTTATTACATACGTTTCAACTAAATTAGAAAAGTTAAAGATCTGGGGAGTTAGTGATTTTTTTTTAACTGAGTTAAATATTATAAGTTAATATAAGCATTAATAAGAAATTTTTTCTAATTCAATTTAGTTTTTGGTTAATTTAGTTAAGTAAGTAATGTTAAGAACAAATATATTTTTATTTTTTTACTAAACTAAAAACAGTTTTATAATTACAGTTTAAATATTTTTGACATGAAAACGAAATCAATTGAAATGAAATAAAGTACAATAAAATTGAAGAGAAAATGAACTAAAATTAAGTGAGAAATGAATTAGTTGATTTTACATTAATTAAAAAAAAAAATTAAGTTAATTAAGTAAGTAGTTAAATTATCAAAAACCCAAGAGTAACTAGTTAATTTCCAGCGTTGCTTGTTAATTAATTAAACATTATAATGTATACATTTCAATGTTTTATATTTATGTCAAATGAATTAAGAAAAAAAATATATATGACTTTGTAATGAGTAGAATCATTCTTAAAAATTGAAATACTTAAACTACATTAATTTAAATTTACTCCCAAATACCATATGAATTACAGGTGTTTATTGGTAAAAAAAAATTAAACATACATACGTGATACGTCATAGTGTATTAGTGTAATACTGAATATTGTACTTGTACCTATTATTATTATAAAAGTATCACATTCAATTACAATGTTTTGTATTCTGAGAGATCGTTTATGGTTGTCCAATATTTTATGAATTATGTATGTATTATACACAGACTTACAAACTCTCTATTATAATTTTAAATCAAATTTTTCCAATCCATTTTATTGAATTTTTATTGATAATTTCCAGCCCATGGTTTTGACCGCTAGCTCCGAATAATTTCTGTGACTGCTGCTCTTAACAAAATTATGTCACAATTAAATTGAATAATAATAATTAATAAATAATTACAATGGTAATTTCGTATAATTGATAAACACCATCTATACTTTTCTTCGGATATTGCAGAAAGCCCGCGTCATTATTATACATTTGCGACAATTAAAAAAATGATCAAGTACAAGAGATATAGAGAATTACGCCCATTTCCAGATCATAAATCCGCTTTTTTTTATACCTTTCTTACTTTTTTGTGTACACGCAAACTATGACGTGATATAATCTATAATATTACATTGGTTGCGTGTACCTGTGCAGGAGTGCTTAAAATGGGAATATTTTTTTTAATTTATATGATCTTAATATTTTCGTTGAATGAAACTATGCAAGACAAAGGTTACTGGCTAGAGGTCACCGAATGTTACAGTAGGTAGTAGGTACGTACCTTAGTGAATAACAATAGGTAGGTAGCAATTATGAAATACAATTTACGTGTTAAAAAGGGCAAAATAGTTTAATTGCACGACGTAACGAAGCGCAAACAAGTTTTCTGACCACTAGATGGCCCGTTTGGGTATTAAGCACAGGGGCGGCTACTTTGACTGGCTCCGTTGATCTAGTTTTGTCGGACTATAAAACGCACAACTGTTCTTTGAAATAGATCACAAATCAATCAGCTTCTACAGCAAGCACAATACAATATTATCACTCATCTACATTTTGCAGACCAACTAAAACCAACCACCATGAAATCCGTAAGTTTATTTTGTTTGTTTTATTTTCGCACTTAACATTATATTAAATCCATTAATCTTGAGTTCATTATTTTTTCTAAGTGTACATAAACTTCGCGATGCGTATCTCATAAGTCATATAATATGTTTCATTTATTTTTCCATCGCACTGCTTAAACCACAATCACGTTTCGTCATTCGACACAATCATTCGTACTTTTTATTATGGATACGATTCATTTAAACAAATCATTATAAGAACATCTGTGTACAACTAAGTTATAATTATTAGTTAAAAATATTATTAATTAAAGTATAAAGTAGGTATAATCTACATTTTTTTGGTACTATCTTGTAAAAAATTTAATGTTCCATTAATACTATTAGTTTTAATGTCGATTGGACATTGTGATTACCTTACCTATAATTACTATTACCTATTGGCTATTACTTACTTATTACTTATTGTCATTAATTTTATAAAACTTAATATTAATTATTATAAAATTAATATAGTTACCTATACCAACCTCATATCACTACAATATATTTTCAATTCAGCCACGGCACTGACTAAAATAAATTATTCAATACTATTATCTATAGGTACTAAATTTACAACTACATCGATATATGCAGGTCATACAATTATAACATGAATGATATACTTCTTTATTCTATTTCTAGATCATTGTTTTTATTTAATGGTAAATTTCGCTTTTCACTTATTACTGTACCAACCCTTATCACTTGGGGAGGGGGTTGTTATTATTTATTGATTTATATCAATAAACAAACTATTATTATTGTGACTGATGACGATAACATTTTGTTTTTTTTGTTTTCAGTACGTAGCTGCCGTTTTATTGTTGGCTCTTGCCGTCTGCGCAACCGCCGAAGAAGCCAAGCAACAACAAGCTTCTCCTGCTAAGACAACCGACAAGCGCAGCATCTACGGACTGGGTTACGGCTACCCTGCATACCACGCACCCCTTTCCTACCCAGCTGCCCCCTTGGCTCTGCCCACATCCTTCATCTCGCCACTGAAGTACCACGCACCTCTGTCCTACCCTCTGTCCTACCACGCTCCCCTCTCTTACCACGCTCCCCTCCCCTATCACGCTCCCCTTTCCTACCACGCACCCCTCTCCTATCATGCACCCCTCCCCTATCACGCTCCCATCTCTTACGCATCCCCCCTGTCCTACCACCATGCACCAATCTACAAGGCCCCGTACTACGCCCCGTCTATCTACTAATAGATGATATCGCACTCGTCAACCGACACGCTATTGCAATAATAGGAAAAAATCATATAATCTGAACTATAATTGCTACGTCGTCGTCGTCGTCGTCGTCAATCTTTAATTCATGTATTTGTAAATCATTGTTAATAATCATATTATTTTATTTTATTTGTATATAATTATTTGTGCATCATCATGAAATATTATATTATGTGTTTATTAATAAAATAAAAAAGATTTCAATTCTCTTAAGAACCGTTTGTGTTTATTATTATTTATGTTTTGACAAAAATACGTATGACAGTATTATATAACTAGGTATATCCTCCGGGGTCGATTAATGTTTAAAAACACGTACTACTTCTTGGTGGTGGACAACTGCGCGTTGTTGTTGGCGTTGTTGGCCGAAGAAGAGAAGTAACTGTACGAATACGGCACCGGACTTTGGCCGGATTGTTGCGGCTGGTACGTGGCCGGATATTGCGACGGCTGGTAAGTGGCTGGATATTGTGATGGCTGGTACGTGGCTGGATATTGTGTCGGTTGGTACGTTGCCGGATATTGTGACGGCTGGTACGCGGCCGGATATTGTGGTGGCTGATACGTGGCTGGATATTGCGACGGCTGATAAGAGACCGGATATTGCTGTGGCTGATATGCAATGGGATATTGCTGCGGTTGGTATTGCGGTACAAACGATTCGGCGGGCCCGTTGTAATACGGAGGCTGATATACGGGTACTGATGGATTAGTGAAAATGGAATTGCCATAAGGTTGTACGACACAAGTCGGTAAATAACTCGGTTGATACGAAGGTGCGTTATTGACCGCTACTGCAGCAGGTGTCGGCTGCGGGGTTTGTAACGACTGAGCGATAGCTGCAGTACCTCCGTTGTACGAAGATATTTGACGTTTATCTGGTTTTGCAGTATTCTTTTCGTCGGCCACGGCCACGGACACGATGATCGCCATGATAATCTATAAAAAAAATAAGAGTATATTAGGAAAAATAAAATATAAATTATTTTTTTGAATATTTTATGATGTGCATTATTGATTGCACTAAAACGTACTTATTATAATGAATACAATATAGTATTTTAAAAAAGAAAAAAAATATTCTGTCCAAAGTTATTGGCACAATGTTATCAGCATTTTTATGATACAATATTAAAATTGTATACTGATGTATTAATTTCTTAAGAATTTAATTTAATTTAAATTCATTAGTCACAATTACGAAAATAATACCTATATATGCATTTTTTTAGTATAACTGTATAGAGCTATTTATATTTTTTAAGCTTTAAACAAAGTAGGTTTTCTATTGATATAAAGGTGATTATTGCAATATATACAATATATATATTTATAATATTATTAAATAAAAAAATAATCCAATAATAGAACAAAAGTGAAAAAAAATTAAAAAACATTAGAATGTACAATTATACAGCCATAAATTAGGTATAATTGTTAAATACTTGTTATTAGTTAAAGTTATTTATTTTAATTATTTTTATAAAACTGATAATTCATTTAAGTTTAAATTTTACAAATTTATATAGTTAGTTTATTTGGATTGATATTAAAATATTCATACCTATAATATTTACAGTACGATTGGCCCATTGATCTAAGACCCAAGTATTTACAAGAAGCTTAAATAATTCGTTTTATAGGAGCTATAAGTTATAAGTGACAACTTTTAGAAATATAAATTGATAATTGTATGGAATTTAAAAAAATTTTAAGTTAAGGATAAAGTAAAATACCCTATTTATTTTAGTGTTAAGTTTTATTTTAATTTAATATACTAATAATTACTGTACCTAACACTACATCACGTAAACAATTTAATTACAAACATAAAATAGTTTAAAAATTATAAAAATAAACTAAGATAAATGCACTACCAGCGTCGTTGAACAAAATAGGAACTAGTAAAATTTAAAAAAAATGGTGTAAAAAAATTTGTGTAATCGATATTGATGTATACGAATTTAATTAGTTTCTATAATATATGGAAAATAGAATTTAGACTTTAGATAAATGTTTTGTATTATTGACTATGGACAATTAATTACACTTATTTCATACTTCATTTAAATATATATTTGATGATTAAATTAGGTAACGTGGCTAAAGTGTTATTATACATTTAAAAAAAAGTTATACATAATATAAAACCATCAGGGCTGTAGTTGAATTCGGTACTTACCAAAGATTTCATCATGTTGTTGAAGTAAGTAAAGGTAATACAAATTAAAGTAATCACAATACTAACTAATCGAAAGTCGAAGTGCGTATACTTCACATTTGGATGGATCCGTTGTCTTTTATACTCTGATGGAAATCTTGATACAATTATCAACATGTTAATCTTCTGTTTATTGTTGTCATCATATCGTCATACAATAGTTTTAGAAGGTTGCTTAAGCACTAAGAAACCACATTTTTTTATGTACTTAAGACTATTATTACTACACAACAATTAACAACATTTTCTTTTTATTTTTATCCGATCTTCTTCCTATTATGATCATTTCGAAACCAAATTGTTAACATTTTCAACAACAATCAATCTTTGCGTTCATATCCATAAAGGTAGGTAACATAATACCCTTCAATACACAACTCAGCAGTAAATAAGTTCTTTATGATTACTTAATAATTAATTACTCTTGAACGGTGATTTTAATAAATATTTATGTTAAGAACTATTGCACATTTTAAAAAGTTGGTTAGATAATTTTCGTTGACATGCTTTAATTTTAGGTAGACATAATGGTAACCAAGATAAGAAATGCACATAATACAATACAATTTTTATTTAATTTTCAAAATGTGATAAATTTAATATGAAACTATATAATTACGCTCAACGAATCACCTGTATTATATAATATATATACATGGTATTTTGTTTTCCATAATTTGTTAGTATAAGTTGAGATGAGAAGATATAATTTTTTTAAAAAAATGCAGAACCACTGAATGGATGAATGAAGGGCTAGACAACACGAGCAGCAGATTGGGAAAATTGGAGGTTTTATGAGTGACGGAGTGGTCTTAATGGCCGATAAATTCCAAGAAGAAGAATTTAGTATAAATAGATGCATATTAATATATTATCAAAATATTAATTTTCATTTAAAGATAATTATATATCCTAAATTATTTATTCCATCACTACAGTCTTATTACGAGATTAGATTTGATTAGTAGACTATTTAATATACCAAACAAATACCCATAAAATATTTTATTTGTAAGATTGCAATGATTCGAAATAAACTATTGATTTTCATTTTTTTTATATCATCACTATAATATTTTGCCATTGACATTTTTATTGAATCAAAAAATGCAATGTTGTTGAATAATTATCACTTATCAGTAACTTATCACTATATAATATCAAATATTTATGCATTAAAAGACAAAACAACTTGTTTTAAATTAAATGGTCTTTGAAATAAAAATGTCTAGTACCTAATGGAAGATTTATCCTATTGTTGAATATGATTTCTTTGAGTTATAAAATGGTCCGTTTACACTCCATCACTTTTTTTTAAATTACGAAACTTAACTAATAGTTAATTTATCACTGCCCAGTGAAATAAGAGAAGATATTTGGTTATTATTTATTTTAAGGTCAAATGAAGAATCAGTAAAACTTCACAAATTTTGACTTATTCAAGTTTATGACTAATGAGTCGAAACTATAATATTTTTTTATGTATTACATAAAAGTTAAAAAGTCAAACTCTTAGATAACAGTCGACTGAAACTGTATAATCTGGTACAATATATTATACTCAAGTCGTTGCGATTATACCGGAAATCATAAAACAATGTACTATAACTATAAAGCTATGGGTAAATTTGTGTATAGGTACGTAGTAGGTATGTGTAATTTATCGACACGCATTAGGTAGTTGACTTCTAATATCTCGTAAATCCGGTTTTTATGCGTGCGTTCTTTAAGTGACATTTATTGAAATGGAATATAATATTTTGTTGCAACAAAATTTCACTGTTTGATTCACAGACAAACTGTTATGTTTTTATTTCTGAGTTTAATTTTCCCGTAAAATAATTAACCACAGACATTGAATTATCTAGTAGGCTTAATCTCCCATATTTATATTTGCAAATGTAAAAAAATATTCCATTTTTAAAAACTATAATACTCGTATATTATTATAATTAGTAGCATAATATTAAAAAGACGACGTGTATTAAAAAAAAATACAATTAAACATACACTAAAATATTTCATGTTTATTACTAAAAACATTCAAAAAAATTAATATTTTACAAAGTATAATATCATTATAAAAAAACAATTTGTAATTTACTCAATCTCCTTCGTAGAAAAAACACACACACAATTTAAACGGATTGTAATTCAGTAGAAAATATCCTTCGACTTATTATGTCGAAGGGAACTAAAATGGATATAGTTATAAAATTATAACTCGTTTTTTAGCTATAAATGTTCATTACCAATTCACAATCACAATAAAATCATTATCTTAGACAGCTGTATACCAAAAGCTGTCACAAAGATACCGTGTAATACAGAAACGAGAACAAGGATTTCAATCTTTTATATTAACGAAGTTCCAATATTTACTATTATTGTTTCAATATAGTATTAGCAGAGAACTACTTAGGGAGGCTGCAGTCTCGGGCCCCAACATAGTTAGGGGCCCCAATTTATTAATGCAGTCATATACGTTTTATTTATACCAATCAACGATACATATTTAATATATACTTATAGTATTTATAATGTTGAAAAATAAATTGAATATAAAAACGATATATCCAAAAAAAACCAAATTTATGATTGAAGTGAGAGGTTACATTAGCACATTTAGCACCAAAAAATTAGCCATGTGCTCCAAAATTCCTTAGTACGGCTTTCAGTATTATTATGCAATAAATAACTTATAATTTACAAACAATAATGTATAAATATATGTCTCACAAAATTTTAAGTCCAACTAAACTTTTTAGGTACGATGACCACACTAAAAATGTAATGTTTGGACTTTTGGTTCAGTGATATCATAAGTAAAGATCAGATATGGATCTTCACACGAACCTTGTTTGGTGGGGCCCATTTTTTAGTTCAGTAATACATAATTAAAAATTAATAAATATATTCCAAAATAATATAATTTATGAGAAGTTTGCCATTACTCAAAACAAGATTACAATGTTAAGTATTAATGTATGATATGAATATTTTATAACTATTATCATTAACTAAAAAAAATTGAGCAAACTACTTTACCTTGTCATCTTTAACGAATAATAATAGAAAGTGAATGGTAACACAGGGAAATCATATGATTTAGGAAATTATTGTCTTTGATACTGTTCCTACCTACGATGTATTCAGATTACATGTTACCTTCTACCGATTTTGGCAAAACCAGTTTGACTTAACAGTTTTACTTATGTATATATGGCTCGCATTTCTGTTTTTTAATAAAAAAAATTTGTCACCAGTGTTTGTTGACATTATAAATGGTATTTCATTTGTGTCCACCGTTTCTTGTATTAGTTGTATTACACACGTATACGATGTTCCTAACCAGTTCACCATAATCGAGCAAGGGACGAGTAAATAAAAAATCATAATGTGTAAAATTATTCATTAAAAAACGCAGAGACCATTCATAAAACTACTGGATGGCATAATGGCATTATTAACACTATATTGATTTATTTCATTGTGATATTTCAAGCGGTGAAACTATTTGGTGGATTACCTGTATTGGTTCTGGTAATCCTGCATTGATTGGTTTATACAGGATGTGTAACGACTGAATTTTTTAATTCACGTGGTGACAAATTTAATATCACAAATATAGAAAGCTGATGGTTTTGGTGTAGTATAAATGTATAATGTACAAGTACAACTAATATTATCAGATAGATAATCGTTTTTGAAAAATTTATTTTTAATAATTATAGTATAATTTTACCTATCTAAAAAAAATTGTTTCAATGTACTTTAAGAAAAAAAAAACTAAACGTTTTTAATGTATTTTAACTTCAATATATTATAAATGTAAAATTATATTTTCCTCTTTTTATTGAAAATAATAATAATTAATAACCGATGACAGAAATAAAACAAATGGTTATTGGAGGCAAAAAAATTGTTTGAATAAAATTAATTATATAATATACATATTTTTTTATTTGGCACTTCAAAAAAATATCTTGTATTTTGTATTTTTATGATTTTTTTAATTATTTAAATATTGTATTTGTAATAAATCATAAATTATTAACTGCAGCCCACACAAAATCATTACATCACATTGATTGGATTCTAGAATTTTTGTATATTTTGCTATACTAAATTGATAGGATTATTTTAAATAAAATGTTTAGATATATTTTAAAATTGATTTCAATACAGCATTTTATTTATTTTCAATTCAGACAATTTCAATCAAATGTTTCTATATGATTATATGACATAAAGAGTACCATATATAAATACATACATTCTAACAATACTATAAGAACTAAAAATATATTATTAAATATTTTTATTTAAATATTCTTTGATTAATTTTTAATACTTAAATGTCATTAATAGAATATTCCTATACCCACAATAGTTATGTAAGTTTTGGAAATAGATACATCTGAAAAAACTTCGGATAAATTTCTTTTAAATTAAAATAGTTGAGTTAATATTAATTATTGTTTAAATAAGGAAACTTATTTACTGTAATTATAAAACACATTTTATAGAAGTTTCAAACAATAGAAAGTGGAAATATAACCTGTATAAGTATTTTTTCTCATAAATTGAACTTGACTTTATATGGAATAGGTACTATAACCCACAAATAAAAATTAATTCAAAATATATTTTTTGTTTATGTCGTGGCATCAAAATATGTATTGGAAATAAAGTTACTTTAAGTGATGCATGTGATACGTACATATTAAAAACCATAAAAACGCCCATTCATTTTAAATACAATTTTGAAATTATCACGAAAATAACTCTTTCAGTATTTAATGTGACTATTCAATAAGGTACTGACGATAAGTTACTTCTGGTACACCGTACACCATTTACATACTCACTTCAATAATTGAAAACCAATTAATAGTATATTTAGTATCCTCATGTATGAAGAATGTTTACTTTTTTTAGTTTTAGCTTTATAGCTATAGCATTCAAAACTGGTTGATACTTGATATGTTTTTTTACGAATATAGCACATTGAAATATTTACAACCATTTATTTAGATAGGTTAAAAATA